TGGGGAGACTATGAGAGGCCTCTGACCTGCTGGCCACCAAGCCACATGGCCCTGTCAAGGCTGCAGACCCCAAAGACTAAGGATTTTTTTCCCTTCCAGAAAACAAGCAAGCTCCAGGGCACCAGACTGTCCTGCTTTTAACTCTTAACTGATACACACAGGTGACCGAAGAAGGAGACTTTTAAAAATGTGTTCCTCTTAAATTATCTTGAGGATTCAGTGACAGCTTGCTAAAGAAACCGTGGCAGGGCCTGAGTATTTATAGGAGCATGAGACAAACAGAGAATAAGCTGGAGAAGCAAGAACGATGGTGCTCTGCAAATCACATGCGGCGGCGGGGAGAAGAAGTGTTACTACAAAGCCTAGAACAGTCTCTGGGAAGGAAATAAAGCTTGGGTGCAGGCGGGGGAGAGCAGCCTGGGATGTAGGGCAGATTCTTCTTTCTTTGGAAATGTACAGAATAATCATGTTGTAAGAAAGTCCCCACACTTAAAACTTTCATTTTAAACAGGAAAAGACTAACCACTAAATTAAATCTACTCTCAGTTGCTTTAATCATGCATCACAGGGAGTTACCAAAAGCACAGCAAGGGCGCCCCAGCCCCAGGGCACAGGGTGTTAGGGTGGATGGGAGAATGGGGGTGCAGGCAGGGAGAGGGCTGCAAAGGTAAATCCCCACAGTTCCAGGGATTCCCGTCTTGTCAACATCCCCAGCCATCCAGGGATCTTCCCTTCTCAGCCAGCAAAATCTGCAGCCTGTGTTTGACTCAGGTGTTTACAGAACACCTGGCACAGGTAAGGCTGGCCTGGCTCTAGCCGCTTCCGACTCACGCTTTGAATCTCAAGAATCAGGACTTTTTCCAGGCTGCTGCTCCCGTCAAGGAGTAAGAATTCCTCAGGACATGGACACTCCCCTGCCCATGCATTACAAATACCAGATCCCTCCCGCAGGAGGCAGCGGCACCTCCCACGGCCTCCTGCCCGCTGAGCTGCTGGAGAGTGAGCACAGGGTCACAGGGCAGCTGAGCAAAGCCCCAGTCCAGTCCTGAGAAACCCCAAGGTTTGGAGCCCCGACTTCCTGTCTGCCTGTGTGGCTGTAGGATGAGCCCCTGCGCTGGTGCCGTTCTGGGGAAGCAGGCCACACAGCACGTCTCGAGGCCTGGTACCTTGACGGTGCTGAGAATAAACATCACCCAGAAAACATCAGGCTAGACCTTCACCTTCTGTCCACAGGAAAGTAAAGAGGGGATAAAGTAACACTCATGCTCTCCCTTAGCACAGCGACAGTGGCAGCTGGCCACTCACAGGCAGACCGTGCTGGCCCCACCCGCCCTATCCAAGATCTTACTGCAGAATCCTAGAAGACGGGAAGGAGGAGACCGAGGCATGGGAGCCAGGCTCCAAAAAGATCCTGGGGCGTGTTTTGCAGAAAATGCTTCAGGATCTTTGATCAGTTCAGATAAAAATGGAACCAGGCGACAGTTCCATTCAACAGTACCCGAGTAGCTGGGATTACAAAAGTGCACCATCATGCCTGGCTAAATTTTGTATTTTTAGTAGAAATGGGGTTTCACCATATTGGCCAGGCTGGTCTGAAATTCCTGATCTCAAGTCATCTGCTCGTCTTGCCTCCCACAGTGCCAAGATTACGGGTGTGAGCCACCGCACCTGCCCTGAATTTGCCTTTCAAGTCTCTGCTCTCTTTCATTAATTCTAACAATATTACTTAGGCAACTGCCATGACCCAGGCCCTGCTGTAGTTGCTGGGAACAGAAAGAGGATGACGGTATGCCATCCCTGGTTATGGTGCCTGCATTCGGGAAGAGGCATTTGGGAAAACGAAGGCAAATAATATGGAAACCAGTAATTATTTGTGGTTAGTCCGAAGACGAAAGAAATAAGAAACAATGGATTGGGCAACCTTGTGGGAGGTGGTCAGACAACAGGGAGGTTATGTGGACCTGAGAGGCGGTGGGCCGAGGGGCGCCAGCCATGCCATGAGCCCAGAAAAGTGCTTCGGGTGGGGAGAACGTGGCATCCATGAAGCAGGTAGCAGCAGACAAAGATGTGGCCCCAGGCAGGGCAAGCACCACTCCTACCACAGGTCTGCCAGGCAGCAGGAAGGGGAAGCTGAAGCCAGAGCCATCCCCCACCAGGCAGGCCCCCAGGCACTATCTGGACAAACCACTGTCTCCCACACAGAGGGAGGTTTGTGTGCAGGGGAGTCACAGAGCCCTGGAGCATCCCCTGGCAGCTTTTCTCCAAGTCCAATACTCTGACCAGAAGAGCAGGCGTTACCATCTTCTGACCATTAACTGTTAAGACCAAAGGGACCTTTGTTCAGTGTCAGCCAGAGTTGGCCAGAGTGTTAACCTTCTGATGCTGCCCGCTCCGGTCATGTTTCTGCTTCAGACTCAACCCAGAGACAGACTCAACCTAGAGGCTTGGTGTGCTCCTTCCCTAAGAAAAGTCCTTCAGCAGGAAGCAGTATCCAGAAAAGTGCACATTATTCCTCCACATCTCTGCACACTCTGCCTGGCTGGTGCACAAGCATCATCCCACAAGCAGGTCCACTGAAACTCACATGTGACAGACGGATAGGGAGATGGGCTGGGGGATGGACCTCGAGGTCACCTTGCCAGCCACCACGGCAGGCGTTTCCAAGTGGGCACTCACAGACTCACAAGTGGCTTCCACCAAGGAACCTCCCTCTGGTTGCACATTCCCAGGGCAGCGTAATGGGGAGTGCAAACAGGAATCAACTCAACAGATAAAGTCGAGTCATTTTGTTAACAAGAACCCACATTAGATTACTCTGTGATTACATGGTTCCTTGGTGTGATAAATTGGCTAATAACAGGATTCCCAATGTAGTTGCTTAATGGGAATTCAATAATTACAGGTAGCCAGAATTATACTGTTAGCCTAGGAGACGCTAGCACCTTCTCTCTGTTCTAATCTAGGGCTGTTGAAATGGTTACAATCTGGAGAATACACCTCCAGTATTACCGAAGTACCTTGGTAAAATTACGCTTCTGTAGCTCACATACCATATACTCACAGACTTGACTGACAGCCTCTTGTTTTCCTTGTTAACTGTCCAAGTTGAAGAGATCCCTAATAGATGTCTTTATTGCTTAGCTCTTGTTTCCATATAAAAATTAGTGATCAACAGATAATAATGACACAATAATATTTAAATTGCATATGACAGTTTAGGAGGCTTTTTCATGGGCATTTTTTGGTGGAGAGAGATCTTTACCACAATTCAGTAAGAGCCAAGGAAGGAACTATTATCACCCCTTAAAGTGAAAGAATTGAAGTTTAAGGAGCCCCTGACTCCCAAAGCAGCATCAAGCGGAAGAGGCGGGGGCGGAAATCCCACATTCCTTCTAGTGCACCACATCACAGAACTGAGCCCTAAATTTCACTAATGCAGCATAGCCTTAGACTGCGCTTTTCACGATTGTCCTTAGGAGGAACTACGCCTCCATTACCACATAGTCTGAATTATTAAGACTTAAATTCATGAGATTTTATTCTACCTCCTATAAATTAGGGCATAACTCAAAGAGGCCCTTTGAAAGAAGGGAAAAGGATAACTTGTTTTGGGAGCAGGAGGTCACTAGTCATAAACTTCCCTCACAATTTTTTTTTTTAAATTTTTTGAGTAATATTAGAGTCTTTGACAATGAGAAAAATGGAACAGTGGATTTAAAACATGAAATGGCCCATTAGATGGGTCTTGAACTTGTTTTAAAACTCCACATAATACAGCTTGGCTGTTTTGTCTGTCCAAAATGTCAAAATTCGTCTAGGATTAATGGTTCTCTAAATCAATAGGATTTCATGTTTATAAATGGTTTACGGTTCCACTGGTTACAAAATGTTATGAGCTCATGCATTATCATCAATGCTGAGCCTTTACTGAAATCTACTGACATTTGGTCTGGCATCCAGACCAGACATGGAAGGAGGACAGAGTGGAATCCTCCCAAGGCCTGGCCCAGACCACTGCGGTTCCTAGGAGAGGCAGCAGGGATCACCACAGAAAAATGATGCATGGACCAGGGGTCCTATCCCAATTGCCAAGGGGAACTGTTAGGACTGAAAGTTAGAAAATCAAATATGGTCCTTTTCAAAGACATGGAGAAAAGAGAGGGCTCTAGACAAGTTGACAGCAGTTTTCAGAGAAATGTTATAAGAAATAACATCCTTCAAAAATCCTCTTTAACACCATCTTCTAACGCTAACATTATCACTGCTGGCAAATGTGCTTCCACACTGGCTATGTGCTTGCACGCCATGGCTTGAGTGATGTGATTCTACTTCTGCGTTGTCTTTACTGAACACTCCTCATGCTTCCCCCAAAGAAACTGTGGTTAGTAATGACTGAAGACCGTTCAGTGGTGTTGATTCACGAACACGCTGTTTTCCCCAGCGTTGGGCACTGTGGCCCTTATCAGATTTTCAGACAGATAAGCCTTTGCAAGAAGAATGTCAGCCAAGGTCATTTCCTTTCACAATTGTTTTAGGTGGGAGTATCAGAGAAATCTCTTTCTCTGCTCTGTGACACACTGCACAGGAACGGACCTCTATGCACTTGGTATACACGTACAAAGGTGACCCCTGCCCGCTCATACTTTTGGTTTTCTGTTTTATCCCATGAAACCCATGTGAACAGACTGTGGACAATGAGGTTATTAATATTTCACATTTTTCATTTCCACAAATACATACACCAACTGTGCACATTAACACAATGTTAAAGATTCACCTGCAGAAGCAAGTAAGTTATTTTCCAAAGAAGGTGAGCCTGTTTGAAATATTTCACGGTGACGTAGAGCTGAAACACAGCATATCCAATTGCTATTGTTAGACCATAAAATTACATTATAAACAAACACTGATCATGAGCATGGTAGGATGTTGCCAGCTTTTGCTGTCATTAAGTATGGAAAAGATGAAATGCTAAATTCTTCACTCTCTCCCTTTTCTAGTGTGGAGCTGGATTTTAAGCAGCAAGAAGACAAACTCCAGCCAGTTCTGAGAAAACTCCACCCTATTGAGGAAACTCAGGTCATACCTTCGCCTTATTCTCAGGAGACTTACTCCTCAACTCCCAAGCAAAAATCCAAAACTGAATCTAAAAAGCATGGAAGATGGAAACTCTGGTTCCTTTAACACTCACAGTATCTGGAGTCTCAAGGCCGTCTTTAGAACCCACTGGAGTTTAAGTCAATACTTTTCCAAAACAAATAGGATCGAGGGAACTATGGTGCCAACTCAGGCATCTCCCACTTCTCACCCTGCGTACCAAAAAGGCCTTTGTACCAACAGATAAGCAACAGAAGCAAGGGATTCCGTGTCACTCCTTGCCAGCTGTTCTTTGCAGTTCACTGATGTGGGATGTAAAATCTGAAACGAAACTTAGATAGTCAAAGATGATAAGTAAAAATTTCCCCCCACCCCCAATCTGCAAGTAATACATTATCAACCTGCAAGATGGCAGGCTGTCACCCTGTACACAGCTATAACTCATAATTATTTTCAAGCCTTGATTTTTTCTTAATAATGAGAAGAAAAAGCAAGCCTTATGTTTGCAAAGGACTTCATTTTTACGTTTCATTTTGCAAATAAGCAGGGGGCGAGTGCAATTTTCAGCACATCAAATTCCGGAGAAAGCACAATTTTTTCAAGTGGTCGGAGACCATGAATAATCTCTAAAATGTGACTATATGTATATTTGCCTTCATGTGCTATAGCGCTAAGCCAAGTGACCACATCTCAGTGTCACACTGACACCTCAAATTTAGCATCCTCTTCATCTCCAGACTTAATGACATGTTTACTGCTCATTTTCCAAATGGCCAGCAGCCAGGAGTCCCCCAAAGTCAGGATATGCCTTTAATCACTGCAAGTAGACAGGGTCAGAGCTATTGGACACTAAGCTTTCTTAGATCTCGTTTTTAATGTTTTGGTACCCAAAGGCCAAATGATATATTCTGGCAAGAATCTGAGAACACACATAGAGATACATGATGGATAACATAACCACCAATAAATCACAGGTGTTCTGTGCCATGGCACACAGTGTTTTTGTGGATCAATCCTCTGAGACACTGTTCGCCATGGTAAGCGCAGCCAGACATTGTATACAATTTGTTATGCTTTGTAACAATGGTGGAAGACCTGACCATCTCAAAGAGATACAGCGTGTTTAGCTTAGCTGTTACCAAGGGACAATGTCGCCTACCTTTAACCTATTAGTAAGTTGTATTAAACAACATACTTAGGGGAAAGCTGTGAATCAAATGTTTTTAGGTATTTTTTAAATCAACAGTAACACTTAGAGTTCTCTCTTGATTACACATTGCAATGTAAATCTTAGTTCCTTTATTTTTTCACTCATTTCTTTGCACCTTTGCAAGTATCTTTTTATAGAAATCAAATCCCCTAGTCTACTAATGACTTTGTCTGTCAATTTTTTGATTTTCACCGTAGGAAGTAGGGGTCTTACTTTGCCTTTCTTTTGTACAACTTCAATTTTGGATAGTTTGTGAAGATACAGGAAAACCTAGTCTTGAAGTTTCTGTCCAGCAGTTTCACATCTAGCGGAGTGCTGACATGCACACCTCATTGATTAGATGCCAAACACACAGTGGCTAACCTTGGTAAAAGGATCTCACCTGCTTTTATCAGATTGGAGCTACTTCTTGCCATGCATTTTCCTCTTGACTCAACAGCAAATCTGTTTTAGTTCTAAGTGTTTTGATTCTACAGGGACCTAGTGATCAGCTATTAGATCGGACCTTGAAAAAAATGAAGAGTGTATTGTGTAAACATTCTTTGGGGGATACTCAAACAATACCGCAGTTGTATGCTTTAATTTAAAACACACATGCACACACGTTTTGCAGAAACACTATATGAGGTTCAAATCCCTGGATATCAGTAAACGGAACTGAGAAATATTTTTGTGCAAGAACAATGAGGAAGTTGATCCTGTAACATGAAGGAAGTACAATTGTTTCATGTAGACTAAACATTTAAAAATGGGCTTCATGTTTTTTATACTGTTTTTAACTGAAGTTATAAAAATGTTTCCAACAAGTTATCTTTCCTTATGTTTTAAGAATCCCAGCTATCTCAGTAAATTGAAATAAGGGTGTTAGCAATTTTCTAATTACTATTACAAATCTGTCTAAACAAGAGGTGACATCCTAGTACACAAAATAATGTCACTGTTTCAAACCAGTCTAGACCTAAACAAAAAACAGATTAAAATTGTCAGAGCCAAAAAGGAAATTCTGAAGATAAACTAATTCCCCCTTAAAAGTTAAAGTGTGTTCAAAACAGAAAAAATATTGTCAAAATCATTTCATAATTTAATTGCAACACATCATTAACAGATGGAGATTCTTCTCTTGGAAAGATTCAAGGAAAAACTTTGATACAAAACCAAGGTAAAACGTACAGTGTTCCCTCATGTAGATGTATACATGGCATTACATATAGATATTAAATTATTATACTTGTCATTAAGTTCTTTATTAATTTTTAAATAAAAAAAATCAAAGATGATGTTTTCTGTGTCTATTAAATTTATTTCATGGCTTCAAAAATTGGGGAAAGTAAAAGAAATCTAAAAAAATAAGAATCAAGGAAGAATGTTGGAGCTGACAGGCATTTCATCAGGTCTGCAGAAAACAAGAGCATCATAAGGCTTGGGCCTGACCCACCAGCGGGAGCTGGGCTTGGTGAGGGGAGGGGTTGACGTTCACCGACCCAGGCACCCTGGCAAGAACTCTGGCCACCAGAAGATATGGTGGCATTTTAGGATACACACAGGCTCGCAGCAAGAGGTGTCTGAGGTTTAATTTTTAAATAACCTCAGAAGAGATGACTAAATACATTGAGTGCTGCCAGAGTAAACTATGGCACACAAATCTTGCCTCCATGGCCCAGGGGAGGTAGCTTTTCTCTGGATCTTCCAAGCACATCTCCACCTTCAAGGGATCGGCCGCCTCCTTCCTTTCTTCTTCCCCTCCCCAGTGGGAGATGGGCTGAGCGCCCACCTCTCCAGCTGACTCTAGCCTAATACTAACCCATCCCCACACGTGGGCTGGCACTTGCCTCACCTGGACGGCCTAGGAGAGGAGAGGCCACTACCCTTTTTCCCAGTATCTGCAACCACAGAGTCCATGTGCAAGCAAGAGGGCACTGTGGCCTAGACTTGAGGCTCCTGCTACTGTCACATGTTCTTCAGTGAGAGGAGGGGGATTCCGTTTCTGACATACGCAGAAAGGGAAGGGAGGCCCACTGCACAGCCCAGAGCAGGCAGAGGGAGGGTTCTGTCTCATGGTATAGTCATGTCTGAGCCGACTACTGGTGCTGCCTCAAAGTTCTTGTTCTACAATGAAGGGCGTCCCACCACTTGGGTGCCCGCCAGTCACTCTACAAGTGTGCAACTCACTTCCAAGAAGCAGAAGTCCTGTAGTCCTGCATCTGCTCCTTCAATCTCAGACCCCGCAGCAGAAGACACATGGGGAAGGACTCAAAGCATGGGAAAACCTTGCTACCTTGGAAACAACTTAGGCAGTTGGTAGATGCTTCCCATGCACCCTGAGAGAGGCAGTCAGTTATCTCCTGCCACAGAGGTCTGAGATGTGGCTCAATAAATGGTGTGAATGGGGTCACGGTCATGGCCCGGCATCAGGCAGACCAACTCCAACCTATAAACAATCACCAGCAGGACGCATTGCAACGCTGTTTTCCTTGGCAGACCACATGGGCCTATAAGAACCCAGACACACAACTGTTAATTAAAACTGTGAAGACAGACCATCAAATCACGGCCTTTCCTAGAATAGAGCGAGAACAGGAAACAAGAAAGAGGCATGAACTCTTCTGTGTCATGATGTTAGTAACACCATGGCCTGTTAAGAAAACCTATCGCTGGTGGACCCATTCTTTGGGAGCATTTTTATCAGCAAGTGAAAGTCAATTTAATTACCAATCAGGGCAGTTCTGCTGGAGCAGGGTCACCTAAAGATCAGAGCAGCTGCTTCCCACACCAGCACATCTTCTTTGATCTATAGAAACTCTATCACTAACATATTTGCATGGGCTGCATGTGCAGCCAATTTACTTACTGAAAGTAAACAACTCTGTAGTGCAAAGATCAGAAAGAACATGCATTTCATCAACTGGCATAAAGTCATCATGCCACAATGGGTCCTATATATTTTGGTCAATGACAAGGTCATTTTAAGTTGGTCAATAGTTAACTGAAGGCAGTCTGGCTTTGAAAGTACCTTTGCAGTTTGGTATGAATACGTAAGGGCTGCAGAGCATAATTTGCCCATTCAGTAACGGGGTTTTTACTTCTTCTGCAGTATACCCATAGCTAGTAACCAACCTTGAAAAAATACCAGGGTCACAGGAATATAAAAAGAAACCAAACATTGCTGTAGCAGCCCCAGAGAAAAATGAACTTATAAAACCATTGCTGCACACACACACACGCATGTTAGGAAGATTTTCTGAAAGCAGGTAGGTTTATTAGCAAACAGTACAATTATAGACATTTTTTATGATGCCTGTGTACAAAAGCCAGACACAGTCCATTTGAAACACAACATATTTTTTTTTGGCAAATGACTTTAAAATCATTTTTTAAAAACATTCATACTTAAACTCTATTACAATGAACATCTCAAAATGAATGCTCATGCATGGGGATATAAGATCTTTGTGAAAATACTTGGTTATGAGTCATGGGGAAAAAGGCACTATTCACTGGGAAACTGATTCTATTACACCATTTTCCAAATGAAGGAGCATGTCAGGCCCTTATCAATCACCCAGGCTCAAAGAAAGCACTGGGTTTTCACCAACAGCAAGGATGCTGTTGTCACAATGAAACACACCCTCCACCACGCCATCAGTGTCCCCCTGAGATCGTGTTTAGAGTGGAAACAAAATCACTTCCATCACCTGTGTCTAGTGAGTCCGGATGCTCCAGTGGTCACAAGACTTAGTGGAGAATCCAGACTAGATCTTCCCCTTCCCTAAGCCCACTCTGCGAATGTTCAAAAGAAATGTTTCCTTACAAGAGGCCCCCATTTTCCTTTTAGTAAATAAGTAATTTCCAATCCCCTAGTGAATATCCAGGCCACAGAAAAATCTTTAGAAGTCTTTCTCACTCAGTTACATTTTTTAAAGGACCCATTAACAGAATGTATCTGTTCATTTGAAAGAAGCAACAGCAGTTCATATCACAGGAGATGGAAATGTTACTCATTTCACCAGCTCTCATCTTGGCCTGGAGTGCTTACTCTAAGAAAAACACACCAAATGGCTGGCCAGCCCCTACACACAACACAAGAGGACCTACCGGAGCCATGGTCACCTGCTCACATCCATGTGTGAGGAGTAAAAATGACGCTTAATGCTGAGGGCTTAGAAAGATTTTCAAAAAGGAAGGCGAAAATAAATCCTGAAGTCTGACGTAATATAAAAATAAGTATTTTACTCCATGTTTCTACAGCAGCCGACTACATCAGAGTAAAGATAAAATGACCTTTTCATTCTGTGGCAAGGTTATTGCAATGCATCTGTTTCTGGACATGTGTTAGGTGTTCACAGAGTCTACAATACTACAATGGCCAAATGGAGCTGTTTTGGTTTTTTCTTAAGGATGTAATACTTAGGATCATGGCACATTATTATCCTAGGCATGAGATGCATTCCAATCACCCATTTCAAATATAATCAACTAAAGCAAACAATATTCAACTGACCACAAAGCGAAGTTTTATAAAATACCAGATACAGAGAAAAAAGCCTGATACTGCATATCACAACTTATCTAAATAAAGGCGAGGTTCCCCAGTTTTCTATCCTGTACATAAATAGCAGGAAGCTGTCAGGGCAGAATCACATTCCCAATTAATACCTTATTCCGATGGAAAGATGTCACATTTCTAGTATTATTGCTGAAAACCTCATGCAATAAATCATTAAGTAAACTATATCAATTCCAGAGTTCTTTTAATCACTTTAATTTTTAAAAACTCATTTTCAGTCATTACTTACAACTTTTAAGCTGATTCATAGTTATATAATTTCCACTATATTTATGCAAAAATGAATAACACATAAAGACTGAAATCTCTAAGGTATAATGGAATGGTACAGCCTACCCAAAACAGATCTATAAACTATTTTCTGTTCTTTTTCTACTCTGGAAAGTCCACTGATTAAGTTTTTGTCCACCTAGTCAGGGATATTTTTTGCCTCAATCTTCCTCTAATCTAAATTCACAGAACAACAACAATGACTTTAACAAGTTAATGCATAAATCTACATTTGATGCAAATTGGAAGAGCAAGGGCAGGCATCCTAAACAGGGTAGCATTTCACTCTCACTGCTCCCTTGACTCCAGAGACGGGGCTCGTGGCTGGTTGGGATAACAAGGTCCCGCTAAACAATGCGAATTTTCAATGGTGACGGGCCTTTTTGAAAACATCTTGATGCTGTCATCACTCATTAAATGATTATAGCTTATTCAGAATCTTTTTGAGAGTCCTTCTAAGACAGCTGCATTTTACAAAAGAAATTCAAAGGCATTTTTTTTACATCTTTACAGATCTTAGAGATGCTGGAATTGGGAGGAGTCCATTTAAGACCTCTATCCCCTTCCCACTCTGAGGCTTCTGTGTGAGAAGGTCAGGGCTGTGGAGGGCGGTTCTGGGTGAGAAGGTCAGGGCTGTGGAGGGCGGTTCTGGGTGAGACGGTCAGGGCTGTGGAGGGCGGTTCTGGGTGAGAAGGTCAGGGCTGTGGAGGACGGTTCTGGGTGAGAAGGTCAGGGCTGTGGAGGATGGTTGTGTGTGAGACGGTCAGGGCTGTGGAGGGCGGTTCTGGGTGAGAAGGTCAGGGCTGTGGAGGATGGTTGTGTTTGAGAAGGTCAGGGCTGTGGAGG